TCGGTGCTGACCCTCAAAACCGTGTAAACCCCGTAAACCACATAAACCCAAAAAAACCCTATAGACCCTAAAAAAGGATGGTGTTTCTGCCAGAAGACGCTCGGATGCAAGGCATGGTTGGAGGTGCTTCTTGGACACGAAATTGGTTGACATTTGACAACAGACATCCAGGCATGTTTATGATGTTCTTGTCTCGACAGAGCAAGTGTCGGTCAGCTTCTGGGGTGCACAGCTTCAAGACAGGAAATTGTGAGAGCATGGATCATTCGGCTTGTTATGACAGGCAAACTCTTCAGGCTCTTTAGGCTTGAATGCTGTGCCGATAGCACTGCCAGGTTACTTCAAGGATTACAAGCTGTCCTACGAGGACCGCTGCGGTGGGTACAAGGTATGGTATAGGAAAACGCTGGTGCCCAAATTTATGGATGGCGGAAGGGAGAGGCACGGGGCAGGGCGGGGGAACGGAGGGTCACGAAGTATGACGTATAAGTACGAAGAAAGTAGGGAGCAGCAGGTGTGTTTTTTGCTTACAGTTTCTCGTTTGGTCGCCCGACTTCTCCTGTGGCCGTTAAGAATCCTCTTCCACTTTCTGCACTTCCCTGTTTGACTTCCTGCGATTCTGCACCTCTTGCATTGTCCATCGTGTGCACTTGTTGTCCTGGCCAGTCTGGTGTCATAGCTTTCATGGCTTGTGCCGTTCCCGGCGTGCCTTGGAATCAAGGCTCTCTTAGCTCCTGCATTCTTCCCATCGCATTCTTTTCGCATTTCGCTTCTTTCAGTTCATTCTGATTCATAGTAGGCTGTCAGGTTAATAACATTTTCAAACTGTCCGGGTCACGGGAGCCTTTCCTCAAAGTCCTCCATAAGCCAACCAACCAAAGGCCCACAAGACTCTGATGTTTCGGATTGCAGAGAATACCAGGTTTGCTCGCCTTTTGTGATGCGCCTCATGATGTTGAGTGGCAAGGGCACATGGCATGGACTGGTTGAAGGCAGCAGGAAACCGAGATGAGGTCAGGCTACAGAAATCCGAACGTGCCGTTGCTGTTGACGTTGTGAGGATGACAGCCTCCTTTGGTTCAAGACCGACGAGGCTTGCCGGTCTCTTCTGGTAGCGAATATACTGCAAGATTCGCAGCCTTGACCTGAAGGCTCTGCATACAGATCCGGAGTTCAAGAAATACTTCGATCTCTATGGTCAGGACATGATGTGCCCATAGGGTGATGCATCCTTTGCTCTTGAAGAGACACGAGTGCTGAGGCGCTGCAGAGTGGTTCTGCATATACCGTTAGATACCGTCTTGCCGATGTCGATGCTCGAAGGACCAGGCGGCTTTCTTCAAGGACTATGCGAAGGCAAAGCCTTGGACGTCTTTGCCGTTGTGCATATCATTGCGTTCTGTCGCACAACATGCCCCATTCTTCCTCGCCTTTCTTCTGCTGGCCATGGTTTCTGAGCTCATGGTTGAGGGATAGCTCTAAAGGCATGCTTCGAGAACAGATGTGTGGAAGATGTGTGGAAGTTGCCTGTATGAGCTTGCAGATGCAGATGTGTGGGGTGTGGCTGTGGCCGTGGGTGCCAGGCTCACAAGAAGTTGAGCGAACTGGGGGCCAAATTTGAGCCAGAGCAAGGTCTCAAGATTTAAGGCTTAAGGCTCGAGGTAAGGCTCGGTAAGACCGTGTGCAGTGGCGGGGGAGCGGGGGCCGCTTGGACCCCCGTGGATGTGAGACGGCCTGGGTGAAACTCCTCTCGCTGATGCTTTGGACTGTACAGCGCTGTACAGAGCAAAAGCCGGGGCCATTTCTTCAAAGCTCCTTCTTTAGCTCCTTCTTTGCATCAAAGAGATTTCCGAGAAGAGAATCGAAAGAGAATCGAAGTAGGGTCGGTTCGGGTCCACGAGTTCATTCATCTTGCAGCTCCTTCTTTTTTTCAGTTGGCTTGTTTGTCTTGTTTGGGGCCTTTGAAGAAGACAGACCGACTTTTTCTTTCTCTTGGCATCCTCACTGACCCGTCAAGCTTTGGACCCTGTGAGGAAGCTCAGCCACATAGACACATCGCAAAAGAGTTTGTCAAGCTGTCCTTTTTGCTGCACGGCCGACGCGCCTCACAGGAGAGGAGCCCTCGAACTCGTTTCGGGCTCCTGCAGACCTGCTGCTGGCCGAAAAGTTGAGAGTGGTTCTTGTCGGTTTGGTTGCCTGTTCTGGTTGAGCCTCGTGGTCTTTCCCTTGCTGCAGAGTTACAGCTTTCGCTGCCGGCAGAAGTGGCAGAATAGCTAGTGTAGCTAGTGCACTCAGCTCGATGGTCTGCCGAGTTCTAATCCTGTGGTTGTGCCATGCTTTTGATTTGACCTTTGGCTCAGAGCTGTGGTTCCACCATGACCCAGTTACTCGAGATCGAACTTCCGTGAACCCTTCTGGAGCAGATCAGGCCTCCACTCGCATAAAAAGGGTTCATGATGTGAAGTCGCAATGAGTTTTTCAACTTTCGTGCGCCGCAGACTGGTTTGTTACCCGGCCAGGCGACAGTACAGCAAGCGATGAAGCCGTGGCGATGGCAGTGCTCGGCATGCTTGGTGGTACCATCTAAGCAGAAGCAGCTACATCATTCAGAGCTTTGAACCCGGCCGCTTGTGATGCCAAGATCGCGAACCAGAAAGATCCAGGTTTAGAAGCATGTGCGTTGCTTGTTTAAGCAAGAAAATGAGGAGCGCTTGGCAGCGCCAAGGCTTCGTGGAGTCGTAGACCTTGGGACTGTCCTGCAGCATTTGTCGGCAGAGTCTGCCAGGTGCCTGGTGCTGCCGCTGTTTTTATTGAGCCTTGGTGTGACATGGTGGAGGTAAGCTTCGGGGCAAGAAGTCAACACGATGTCTTCGTCGTGCAGTTCGTAGGTTGGTGCCAAAGGACAATTTCAGGTTTGGCCCAGGTGTTTGGCCTCAGGTGCTTGGCGTTTTGTGCCCAGGCAGAGCTCAACAGCACTTATCACCAGCTCGGCCGTTCGTTCTGGCTCGGGCATGCGAACCGAGGCCTCTTGAGGGTTAGGACTTGCGAGTGTTGGGTTTTCCGTGGCTTAAGTCGCGAGGTTTGCATGCAGATTCAGTGCTTTGCTGTGCTGAGAAAGCGAGAAGGCATCGGGGATTCAGTTTCGCAGCAGGCCCTGAGCAGCATCGTCTCGAGTGTGTGGCTCAGCTGCACTGAACGGTTGGAGCATCTGCTTGCAGACGACTTCCGCGCCCGAGACTAGTGACTAGGGCACTTTCGACCATCGGGCTTGACTGCTGGCTGTGGCTGTGTGAGCCAAGGATAGAGAGAGTGCGGGAGCACAGGCCCAGCATCAACCGAAGACCTCAAGTTAGCAAAGAGTTTGCCGCTGTGCTGCAAGCATGGAAGGTCCGGCACGAGGCTTGTTAAGCTGTGTTTTGACTGATTCTGTTCAAGTAGCCTGCCGTTGAAAACGCGGTTGCCAAAAGTTGAACAAAGCCTTTGATGCATTTTCCACCTCTGTGTTGACTGCATCCCGAGCTGAGGAGGAAGCCTTGGAATCCAGGCGTCCCAAGGGCGACATGGGTAGCTTGTAGAAGAAATTTGGGAGGCTTCTGGAGCATCCTTGTTGTGGTAATCTACACAACGACCTGGCTTCACGTTCTTGGTGTTCTTGGCATCTTCAGGGTGGTGGAAGCTCTTCCTCTCGAAAGCCTGTGTTGGACATTGCAAGTTCGGATGTTTCCTCGAAGAAGCGCACGTTTTGCCTGCATGCTCTGGCTGATCTCCTTAAAAGTTGTGCCATTGTTGTGCCTGACACCGAGTCGGAGGTCTAAGAGCCTCATAGAGCCTCAGAGCCTCAGAGCCTGAGGGCCCAAGAGCCTCTAAGAGGTCGAAGAGCCCAAAAAGGGGTTTCAGTTTGCTTCCCTCGTGTGCTTGTGCAGCTCAGGTCGCCGGATTCGCGAGTTCTTCCATTCAGCGAGACACTTGGACTGACTGGAGATTTTTTTTGTACCTCATAGTAACTTAGTACCTCCCCCCCCCCCAAGGCCCCTGCTGACAGTATCGGTTGGGTGCAGGAGTGCTCCTTGGCGCGTTCTCGTGCATTGCGAGGATCTACAGCTTGGGCCACCTTCGGGGTCTTCTGGGTCTTTCTGGCGCTGGCTAGACGCTTGTCCGCGATCAAAGTTGTGACTGGCTGCGGCCAGGCCTTCAAACACTTGCGGCCCCGTCTTAGTCTTACACATCTCCGAATGTAGAAGTGCATGACGCTGCAGCCCCAAAAGAGCCGAAGCATGCATTGAGGGTATGCTGAAAGGAACAGGCGGGACACCCAGTGGGAGCAGAAACGTGAAGCTCTTCAATGCCAAGTGTTGGGTGCTGCACGGAGCTTCGACCCGAGGCTACTTGCTGTACTCCCGGCAGAATCTCAAATACTGGAGCTGTCCTGAGCTGGGCAGGGAGATCGGGAGATGATGCCTCCAACCTTTCAGATCTTTGAGCCATGCCTCGGTGACACTCCGCAATGATCGCACAGGGCTCAAGGCCAAACTTAAGCGATCCTGGCAACTGATCCTAGCGGCTAGGGTTTTTTGTCTACCCTTCTCAGGTTGCCTCTCTAAAAGCCGTTGGTTGTTGGCCTTCGGCATGAAATGCACCCCACTCGAGCCTTCTGATCGTCTAGGACAGGACATGAGAGGACCAGAGACCATAAAGGATTTTGGGTTCGAAGCCGTAGAAGCTCAAAGCACGTAGAGCAGGCAAGTGTTGGCTAGTGACCTGAGTGACCTGAAACTGAGCGTCAAGCCGGGCTTCGCTGGAGAAGCGAGTCGTCTCAGTGTTCGAGTCAAGTCCCAGAGTTCCTAGACTGCGCGAGAGGAAACGTCTTGGATAGGTGGTCCTGTAAACTGCCATGAGAGTGTCAGTATGTGTAAGTCATTGACTTCGCCCTTTGCAAGATCTGACCATGAATGGGCTCCTGCAGCTCCTCGCAGATGCTAAGGTGGCAGCACATCTTCTCAATGTGCTTCTGGATATTCATTGCCGTGGTGTCGCTCGAACTGCATAGTCGCTCGTGCATAGTCGCTGGCAGCTCTTCGAATGAGCAGCTCTTGACCTCTCGCGCCCACTGCAAATGAGACTAGCTATGCCCTTCAGAACTTTCGTAGGCACTGCATGATCTCAGCAAGTTACCACTTAGCCAAATTCCGATATTTCCTTACCTGTTAAGCTACCGGTGTGTGGCACTTGGGAGATGCACTTGATTTTGAAGCTTTCAGATCTCACATCGCCAGCAAAGGTTGTGAAAGCCTGAGGTTAGACGTCTAAGCATTTATGCTAAGCCTTGTGTTGGAATTGATAGAAGAATCCAACCTCCACACTCGAAGGTATCTTGGCATTGTCGATGCACAATCAGATGCAGATGCAGTAGACGACTGGCTGGACGGGTACATTGTTGAACTCATCCTGTCCATGGACACCTGACTAGATATTGGTGCAGAGATGGACTTAGAAGAGAGAGAGAGAGAGAGAGAGAGAGAGGGGGAGCTGGGTGGAGCCATACATGCTGGAAGGAAGGGAGCGAGAGAGCGAGAGAGCGAGAGGAGAATCGAGTTGCCCGCACCAGGGTTCCAGTCACCTTGCCGCGCTGAGGAAAACATCTTCCTGTATGTTCCACGGCTGCATCCAAGGCAGTTTGGGCTCTCAGCAAGGGGTTTGGGTGTAGCCGTGCATCTGCGAACATTGAGGAGATGATCCTTGTCTCGTTCCGGGTGCCTCCGAGATGTGCCAGGAAGATTCTTTTTGCCACTCGGCCAAAAGTGGTGAGTGGCAGTGGGCAGCAAAGTTGGCTCGCCGAGGTCACATCCTTCTTCCAGATGTTCTTTCAGATGCCTGCTTGCATCAAGCTGGGTCGACCAGAACACAAGGTTGGCAAGTCGCTCTCGTGGTCCACTTCAGCAGCCGCTGGCACTCAGTACACATCTCGCTTGACTCAGCACCTTCTTTCCTCGCTTGGCAGTTCCTCTCCATCTGCGGGGTCCAGGATTCGTTACAGCGGCTTTGTTGGAGCTACCCCTGTGTTAGGACGGCATCCTTGTGCCCAAACACTTTGAGTTGGGTTTAGTAGGCTTTCTCCATGCCATTTGGGATTTCGGGCGTGGCGCACTAAGGCTTGCATATCCCCTTTGAAGGTTTCGGGTTTGGCATGTTATGTTCCATTTGGGATACGTCTCAAACCTCACAGAAAGAGGTGCCAAACGATTGCCGTGATGTGTCAAGGTCGTGAACAGAGATGCCCAGTGAACTTGCCGGTGCACTTGATGGTGTTGGCTTGGCACTTCTTCAATCTAGGTGTTATGCTTGTTGCCGAAATGGTTGGGGCTGTAGCAGGCGCCCGGGCTTGCTTTGTCAGGTTAGGAGCGGCCTTGCCACTGCTACAAGATGCGGGAGGATTCGCCAAACAAACTGCCTTCCGGAGGGTATCACGTCGATAGACACGTTGTGGCAGTCATGAGGATGTGGCTCTTCATGTTCGTGGCGAGCTACTTGCAAGACATCAAAAGCCTGCCATACCTCCTGGGCGCCTGGCTGATTTACGATTCTTGGCTGCGTTCCAACAGCAAATTGGGCTTTCAGCCTGGGACTTGCAGCATTCGTGCGGGTTTTTGTGCATGTCCGTGCAGATCGGCGTGGCAAGCCTCCGTGAGGATGACCATGGCGGCAGCTGGGACTTTTTACCTTCGAGGTGTAGATAGGTGTAGTGAGAGGATGTTTCTACCTTTGCAGGGCGCGCAGAACGCTTTGTCTTCAAACTCCCAAAGCCGTCGAACTCTTGGGCCAGTAAGCATGGGCTATCATAAGTGCTCCTCATCTCCCCGTTCTCCTTTGACAGCCACGAAGGCTTCGAGCCGGAGAACTCTGACCTTTTCAAGGCGCTGCGAACGGGTCTGGGTCTGGGCCTCGAGTGAGTGAGCACTACAAGCTCTGACAGCAACAACAGCAAAGTTCATCGTTAAGGGTTTGGGATTCAGGGGTTCAGGGTTTAGGGTTTGGGGCACCTAGCAAGCTCTGAACTTCAATCCGATTTTGTCCTAAGTGTGGCGCCCACTGGAATTCTGCAGACCCAGCGTGCAAGGATTTTGCTCACATGTGGTGTGCATATCACCCCCTTTTTTTTCCAAGGTAGCAGGCTCTTGCCGCAGTACCCCTCTGATGGGAGTGCCCGATCTGCAAACAAAGTGTGACCGAGCAGCCTTGGAGTCCGTTGCAGTCTCTGAAACTGAAGTAACTGGAGCCTCGAGTCCTGTATCGAATTGTTGCGGTCCGCTCTTCAGCGAACATTCAAGGCATGGTGCGCATTGTGGATGGCAAGCTGTGCATGACCATGGTCCTACCGGTGACGGTCTGTATTATATTCATCATGTTAGTCATGGAGGTGGACGTCACGCTTGCCAAGATTGAAGCTTGCATCGGTTGACCAAATCCTTCGGTTCATTTTTAACTTATTTCATAACTTTGAGTTTTTCTTGCATTTTTTGGGCGGCAGTCGGTCAATTAGCTCCTTCTGGTTGGCATTGCCAAATTGCTTGGCACCTCGTTTGTCTCTGCAGCACTTGGCTAGACTTGATATCCAGGCCGACGAAGCCCTTTCGAAGGTTTGAGGGCCACGTTTTGCAGCGTCAGAGCTCAGCTCGAAGCAGCTGTGCCCCAGATTCAAGGACATCCTCCGAACTCTCAATATCTCTCAGGATTCTCTGTTGTAAATGGTCTGGATTAGAGGAACTAGGAAACATTACAACCCTTTTCAAAGTAGATGTGGATGTTGGTTCGGAGTCAAATTGCAACAGGTGAGGGGCAACAAGCCACAACAAGCTTACAGGCCCACAGCACAGAAGTAGATGCTGGCTGGTCGGGTAAGGACAACCGTAAAGCCAAGAGGGGGTTGAAGACCTGCATCCGGAAAGAAGTGTTGGCAGTAGATGTCGGTCGTGAAACCCACAACCCAACATGCTATAGCTCGAACAGCGAAGGAAACTGTGCGGTCATAAGCCCAATAAGCAGATCCGTTTGTTTCCCCGCCTCGACATAGAAACCCTCTGCTTGTGGTTCCAAATGAGTGAAGCGCTTGAAACGAAGGAAACTATTAATTCGCACTTCATTGCTTGGACATCTTCAGTCCTTGTGGCATTTGCAGCTTGTTCGGCAAGAGTGATGCGAAAGCTTGAGTGGATCCCAGAACCAGCCCTAGCAGCCCTGGATGTGTGAGTCTCGAAGGCATGCTGATGTTGTGCATGGGGCACTGGCAAGTAGCCGGTTGCTTTATCGTTTCCCCCCTGCTAAGGCGCTGCCAGACCTTTACGTGATAGTGAGCGAGCTCTTTCGGCAGTTCTACTTGATGCGTACAGGCCAGAGTGCGACAGTGCCTGCTCGTTTCTTATTCGGCTCATGTTTGCATGCTCCGCTTGCTGAGATGTTGCAAGGCGAGTCCGTGCTTGGGCCCTCGAGAGTTGGAGGTTTTACTGGGGAAGCGATGTGCGCCGAAGTGCCAGGCATCAGCGCTCTGCTCCTCTTCTTCGGGGGCTTGCTCCTTGTAAGAGAGGCCAGGGTGGTGGCTGTGGGAGAGAGCGAGAGAGAGAGAGAGAGAGAGAGACAGAAAGATGGAAAGAAAGGACTACAGAAAGAAAGAAAGAACGAGAGGAAAGAAACAAAGCAAGCAAGGAAGGAAGGAAGGAAGGAAAGAAAGACATACATAAACAAAGAAAACACAAATACAGACATAAACAAAAAAAGACACAGTGAGAACATACATAGACACAGACAGAACGAACTATGTCAATGCGACAAAGAGAAACAAAGCAAGACAGAAACCAGAACGACACGGAAAGAACGGAACAACGCAACAAGTTCAATGGCTGCCCTAGTGCCGCCGATCCCTAGACTTGAGCCGTAACCCTGCAAGTCCCGCGAACGTGTTGGTCTGCTCCCACGAGCCCTCAAGTCCTAAACTTTAATAAACTTGAAACTCGGAACCCGAAAGCCTCGTTGAGGGATGTGGCATTGATGTGGGGGTGTCAGTAGAACGCATTTCCGACAGGGTTGGCCAAACAAACTTTCAGGGCGTACCCAGGGAAGTGGGGTGTTGTTTGCACTATGCTTGAATCTAAGCGGTCAGCCATTGTCTTGAAAGATTTCGCCACGGGACCCCCCAAACCAGGACCCGCGCCAGGGGTATTTTGAATCTTGTAGACAGAGCGACAGAGACAGAAAGACAAGAGGCAGCAAGCAAGCATGAGCAAGTGAAGTGACAGTGAGTGAGCGGCGGTTTGTGCGGTTTGTGATGGCAAAAAGTTCGGTTGGGTGAGCATGTTCGGGATGCAGGTGAGTTGGATGAGTCGGGAGCGCACAAGTGGCATTGGCCATGCATTCTGTTGCCTGAGGAGGTGCAGGTGTCGGACACCACTGAAATATCAGTTATGCTGACGATCGTTTTTGGCTCCATTATTCTGTCGACAATGATGCACATGGGTGTCCTGTCTCCGTTTGTCGGACTTGGCATGTGAGTGTGCATGCGCAGGGCGATTGGCTTAGCCCCACTCTTGAACCTTGCTACATCAAAGGTCCCAAAACGGGTGCCGCATATGATGAGTCCGAGGAGGAGGAGGAGTCGAAGCTTGGCAACAGCAGCCCAAGTGACTAGGGTTGACCATGCCGTCCAGTAGGCAGCAGCGAGGACGTCTCTTCTTGGTTGAAGTTGGAATGTAAGATCCCGGATATGGCCTCCTATAGCGGGCCCCCTTTTTGCCGAGATCTTTTCTAGGGCGGTGCCGTCTGAGGCCTGTGAAAGCCCGAGAGATTACCACAAATGCGGAGGCGACATTGTACTCGTATCTTGGAGCCAAGAGAATCTGGATCTCCCGCTTAAGTCACTCCGGTACCCTGTAGACGCAGACCCTGTAGACGCAGACATACGCACAAGCCGAACTTCTTGGGCTCTGGTTTGCAGCCTCTGTTGGGTTCAAGAGCAGAACCAGGTCATTGTTAGGTGTTTTGGACTAGGAGATGCGGGTGTGCACTGAGTTGTTTGCTGCACCTTGGAGTGTGCTTGCCAAGGCTCTATTGAGTGGCCTCAGAGATTGCCGCAAAAAGACTTGCTGACAAGCTTTGCTTCCTCGGCAGCTGGACTCGCTCTCTCCACTTTGGTTGCTCTGCTTGTGCATCAGGTGTGCATCAGACGCAAGAAACAAAAGTGGGCTGTGCCAGATTTGCTAGTGCCATACTGCATCACAGCACTGCAGATACAGAGCTCAGATTTTTCGTATCCGAAGATGGGCAGCGGCAGAGCTGTAGCCATGCAGCGATTGTGTAGTGGCGACGCAGACTATGTGACATCCCAGCCATGGGTGCGCACCATGTTGACTACGGCCTACAGGCTCCTGGCGCCGGTAATTGCTAGATGCGTGCAACTCCAAGGCTTCCGTTTAGTCTTGACAAACCATATGGCTGAAGCCAGCCAAGTTCAGGCAATGTCCAGAGATCTCTCGCTGCAACCGTGATTGCACAGTTTGCACCAAACTCCCCCACTGCAACTCCCGTCTGCTCCTTGGAGTCCTGGACACAATGCCCTGGTCGTTGATGTTTGGCTCTCTTTGCAAGGCGCAGCCGATGGCAGCTTGGGCAATGTACCCAACGTACCACATGCCGGGATTGAACCCCCAGGCGCATGCGCAGTGCCGTTGACCAGTGCCTTTGACCAGTGCCTTGGCGCAATGCCTTTGCAGAGCGGTTCAATCCAACTGTGATTCGAAGACTCTGTCAGGCCTCGCCATTTCTGCCTCGGCAGAAAGCGGCTCAGGAGTGCCTTGGCTGTTGCACATGGTGCTTGCTGTTGGCACGCGTGGAGCTCTCTCGCCTTATGCCCCGAAGTACTCCAAGACGAAGCCGACATCTAGGCAAGGTGGAGGCATTTTTAAAGCCTCGCACCCTGCTTGCAAGGTAGTGTTTCGGGCTTATTCAATGGCTGTTGAATCGGTCGAAAAACACTTCAACAGCGAGCAGAGTTGTTGGCGAGGAGGTTCTTGGTTAGCACTTCGGTCAGAAGGTGTTCGTAGCACGGTAGTGCACGTACGGTGCATTGCCCTTAGTGCTATGTAAGGAGGCCGCCTTCAGGGCACCTTGCGTTCTCTCGCAGCGTGTTGCAGCACCCAGGAGATTCGGTTCCCAGCATCCTAAGAAGCCCTGAGGTGGCGCGCGCTGCTCCGGCGCCTCGCTGCGACGCCGCTTCCCATGGGCCGCGAGGCGCTGCTTTGGGTGCGAAGGCTGGAGGGTCCAGTGAGGGGCGGGGTAGCGGCGCGGCGTGGGAGGGGGGGGGTTTAAGCAGGGTCATAGAGGCTGCAGCTGAAGCTCTGATTCCCAACTGTTTGCCCTGCAGTTGTTTTCTGTGAATATCAGAATGGACCAGACGGAGGTTGGAGGAGGCCGCAGCGGCAGCCATACAACTACAGTGGCGCCACTTGGAAGAAGTCCAAGACGGCACTAGCTCTTGGTGGTGCGCAACGCGACAGTGCTGCTCTGACAGCTAGTGACATGCTACATCGCTGTGAGCTGTATGAGAGCATGAGTAGAAAGCGAAAAATAGCACCCATAGTGGTACTCTTATGGTACGCTAAGATTTGCAAGAACAGTCTGGTGCCAAGAGTTATAGCAAAAGCAGTTGTGCTTCCTTGCCAACTCAAAGAGCTTCAAGAAGCCTTGGCCGCAACCAGGCTGCCACTGGTGGACAAAGCTCCAACATCGATTGGCAGGCTCACCCGAAGACTACGCACCAGCAGGCGGCGCTGGGGAGGTCTGTTGAGGTCGGGCTTGGGGTGGGCATTGGGATTCCACGGAAGGTTGCTAACCCTGGAAAGGAGATGCTGGGCAACTCCTAAATCCTAAAAGGGGAGTTGGCTGGGCAGCCCTGAGGAGATACCGAATAAAGCCATAAACTCAAAACCAACCAACCTCGAAACTGCATCCTGCCAAGGCGGTAGTGGCTGTCATACAAGGCCATTTGGAGTAGTTCGTCCCGAAATCTTTCGAGGTACTCGTTGGAGGCTCCGCTTGTACTAATGAGACTCCATTGTTGCACCTACTGACAGCTTCAAGCTTCATCGGGCCACTTCGAGATCCACATCAAAAATAATCAAAAATGTAAGTCTATAGCTTCCCTTCCAGGGAACTGGTAGCGTAGCGCAACCGAAGTGGCACCATTAAAGCCTCATCGAATCATCACTGGCCTGTTGTCGAAGTCAGAAAAACTGGCATGTTCCAGGCCTTGGTTCAACCTCGCTTGAAACCTCCTCCGCTCTCCAAAAAGGTGTCTGCACCACAGGATAGCATAAGCCCATACTAAGTAGCAGATGCTGTGGCTCAAATGCAAGCCTCGTCCAGACCCTCCTGACCCAAACCCTCACGAGCATTTCACATTGTCTCCGTTCGGCTAGCCAATGCTTGTGCAACCGCTCGCGTTGCTGAAGCCCATTCTGCTGTTGGGGATGCCACACGGCGGTGTTCAAGTTGTGCTCGCAGTAGAAGCCTCCCAGATCCATCTTTAGCCAGCAGATGCAGTGAGATGCCAGGGGCGAGCCCTTGGTTTGACGAGTGGCAATACACGCGGAGCCCACAAACGCAAGGCTCTGGGGTCTGTGGCAACAAGCATGCAACACGCCGCATCGGTACCTTGAGGTTTTGAGAGAAGTTCTCAGGCAGTGCTTGCGAAGCATCGTAAGTTACGGGGCATCAGTCGCCGTCAAGTTCGACTCCCGGGCCCTTCGGCTGGCCCTTCGGCTGGCCAAATGAGAGAAGGCAAGCCATTCAAGCCCGCGAGCAAACCCTAAAGTGCGATAAAGCAAGCTCCCGGTTTCGGCAGGCCAGCGCCGGGCGCGAAGCTTTGGGCCACATAGGCAGCAGTTTTGCTGAGGAGTGCGCAGAGATGCTTATCATCGTGCTGTGTTGCTCCGCACCCCCATGGTGCTGACCTGCATGCGTGTTCCAGTCTGTGTTGCTCTCCATGTTGCTTCATGTTGCTTCATGTTGCTCCATTTTCCGTAGTCTGTTCATGGCATTTCTGCTCTTGGTTGTGCCGTGCTCAGAGCACTCCGCTGCTTTCGCTCCATGCTCCGATGCTGCGTTCCGTTCTCCGTACTTCGCTTCGCTGTGGTTTAGAGCTTATGGCTTTTGAGGGTTTAGTGAGGCTTTAGGGCTTTACGGATTGAGGGTTAAGGTTATATGCTCTTAGGGTTCAAGGTTTGGAAACAGGTAGGTAGTTCAGAACGGAGTGGCACATCTCTTGCTCAACTTTTCAGCAACAGTGTAGCAAAAGGTGCCAGGTACCAGAAGTGCTTCAAATCTCAATGTGATCGGGGTCCAGGCGGCGGCATGGTCTTGGACGTGTGGAAGAACCACAGCAGCGCCAGCGCCAGAGGTGGGAGCGTCGAGATTTCAGTGCATGTTCTTTTCAAGCTGATATTCCTGTAAGCACGAGCAATTTCTATGACATGTCGAGGGACGTTATGGAATCAAAGTGAAGGTCAGTCTGCTCATTCGACACATTGCGGTCGCTAGCTAGTCTTGATGCGCAATTCAGTTCCTTTGTTCAGGCAGGTGCAAGATGCGAAGCCAAACGAGGCCATTCGAGAGACTGTGAAGATGCTCTTTCACAAGATCTTTGGTTAACTGTTCTGCACCCACGGCACAATGTTCAGGATGCCGGGCCAATGAGGGCATACGGGCAGAGGCGGGACGCTGAGTGGCACTGCCTGAGCTCCAGACTCCTTTCTGATCCGCCTTGATCCGTCCTAGCCGGGTGAGTGCTGGGCACTTTGAGTCGCTCGTCCAAGACCTTGTCTCATGCGAGGCCCCGAAGCCAGCCTGCGCGTCTGAGATGGGTCCCCGTGAGACCAAAAGAGGTAGCAACTGACAAGGAGGAGGGGGAAAACACCCGTGCGTTCGTTTCTTGCATCGGAGCTTTGGCACTGGCGTCGTCGGGCATCTTGGGAGCTTTGTAGTGGGGCCTGAGGACAGGACTGACGATTGAGGCGGTTTTTGGTAGGTGCGGGCTCCTGCAGCATGCGCAGCATGCGCAGCATGAACCGCATGTGCAGCAGACTGGGGCTTTGATGTGCCGAACCCAAAGTTCTGATTCCAAAGCTCGCCACTCATGCCCTTTATGCCCCCTCGGCTCAGCTTCGCTGCCAACCCAATGCCCACCAAAGCGTTCGAAGGCAGCCAGAGCTTTAGGAGCTGCATGTGCAACAAAGGGAGTGACACCGAAGGTTTAGAACCACGTCGTCATGTGGGGCTAGTGCAAAAGTAGCAAGTCTCGGCATCTGGACGTTGCGTGCTGCTTTAACATGCGTTGCTGAACTACCTATACGGTTGGCTTCCGGGAGGCGATGCCAGAGGCGCTGCCCAGCGGCCACTTTCTCTTTGCCTCTGAGGCAACGACAGAAGGCGCATGCCAGAACAGAGTTGGGGTCTGCGCCTGCGCATTCCTGGTTGTGCTCTCAGACATGCCAGCGTTCTGATGCCGGTTAGCAGTAAACTTGCAAATTCTCAGAGCTGGTGTATCCCTGCTTGCCAGGACATTTCGACAAAGTTTGCGATCGAATTGCCGATGCGGTGTTGGACACCTGTCTTTCTCAGGACTCGTGTGCTTGCTCAGCATGTGCCTCCGAGTGGCAGCTTCTGAGTATCCCTGAAGTGCAGGATGCTGAGAGCCGAGTGCTCTGCGAAGCATGTGCCAAGTCTGGAGACTTGATATGCAATGTGATCGGCAAGCTAAGTTGTGTTTGGCTGCTGTGCATAGCCAGTTGTAGCTAGTTGCCAGTGTCAGGAATGGTGATGATCCTCGGGGAGGTGGTGAGCAAAGCCAGCATACAGTACGAGCAGGTGATCCGAGAAGCTGTCAAGGCTGTTGGCTATGACAGTGATGAGAAGGGTTTGGATTGGAGGACAGCGTTGCAGTACCTGGAAGAGACAAGGTGTGTAACAGGCGTAGAGTAGGTGCATGTGTGAAGTTCCCGTTCCCATACACAGACTGATGCAGCAGGTCACACTTGTGTTTGAGTAGTGAGCTCATGATGAAAGCCTGGCAACACTGCCAACATGTGCCTCACAAACTGCCATTCCTCTGACTTCTGAGTCCTCACTTTCCAGCTTCGAGCCATCATTCAAAGCGACTCTCGCAGGACGATGAACATCATTGTGGCGGTCGAGGATCAGGGCCCGGATATCGCAGCGCCTCGCTCAGTCGGACGACCAAGCGCGGAAGCTGGCAGATTCGGGGAAAATGGTCGAGTGGCTGAGAGTGGCTGAGAGTGGCTGAGAGTGGCTGAGAGTGGCTCTGAGTGAATTGTGTAGTGCCCTGGTATGTCTTGGTCCAAGTCTTGACGGCTTGATCGGTCGGTGTTCAGGCTTCCTTGGGAAGCCAGCGGCCAAAGCTGGCAGATGACCAGGTGCATCTTTCTAGGCAGTCATGCGCCATCCAAGGGTTGAGTCGATTAAGCAATGTTGTCCCACTAGCCACGTTGATGATGTGTGTCTATGGAAGCTGCCTATGCTTGTGTGGCGCATGGACTCTGGGACGGTTGTAGCTTCAGGCCGTAGCTGTTGGGTACGCCACAGATGAGACCGAGGCAGATTGGGGATCGAGTTTACATTCCTTTGGGGAGGAGGTCTGTCCTGTTATGGTATGTGCGGCATGATTGCCACTGCTTTCCCTGAAAAAGGAAGCCATGCCGCTGTCTCATGCCCTGGCCACTCAGATGTGCGCACAGATGGATCGGCTGAGGACCCAGGGTCTGCAAGGGTCTGGGCAGTCGAGCCTGCTCGCAGTCCACTGCACGCAAACAAAAGAGATGACTTCAGACAGGCGAGATGGCGTTTTCACGTGGCTTCGTCCAGATACTCGTGTCCAGGCCTGGAAGGGTCGATGGGGGTGGACAGCGGAGTATACTTGTATTTGAACATATTAATCTTTTCTGAATATTTCTTATTTGATATCATGATATTATATTATTGTACCACTACCATGTTTGAATGTTGATATCATTGTATTATCATACAATATAAGAATATACTACTATATTAGTATATTCTTATATTGCTATATTAGTTTCTGAATATCTTATTGTACTATTATACGATTATTTCGTCATATTATTATATTGTTACATAACTATGATAACTATGTTAGTATATTTCTATGAAATTTTGCCAATAACTGAAAATATTTTAATATCAGTTTACTCTTACAATATTAAATCATATACTTATAGTTATAATATGATAAACTATAATATTGCAATATGAAAAGAGAAGAGCAATAAACTAGGTCATAAACTACTATGACATTACTACAGTATGATGATACTACAGTAGTATAAGGTTATGAGATTAACATTTTTACAGTTGGAAGTTTATAAGACTGTAAGATTATCATATGATGTTATTGAAATACCCTGATATTGAAATATTATCATATTGAAATATTCGAACATTACAACACTTTAACATTATATCGTATGATATTATTTTCATATTGCAGTATACTATTTTCATATTTTCACATTCACATATTCCCATATGATAATATTCAAATATATGACTAATACAATATGATCGCGTAAAAATGTGAGAATGTTGCCATATTTCAATATCGTTATTTAGTATTAAATATTAGAGTATTCTAATAATACACTATTGGAATATCATAATATGATATTATATAATACCGTGTTTTTTTATTACAATTGCGCGGCTTTCGATAGATCCAGAGCCCTTGCCAAAAGCTCCCTCAGCATGCCTTGTGGAGCTAGAAGGTGACGGTGGAGTACAAGACGGACTCCGATGGCCCTCGACTGAGAGATCGTCGGGTGTATGTTGCATGAAGTGGAGCAGCTTTCTCTGCTTAATGTTTAATGCCCAGGTGCGCTGCTTCCTCAGCGGGTGCACAGCATCTCCGTCATCTACGGCATTTTAGCAGAGGTAAAGCCTGCAGCTGCAGAGAAGGATTTCATGGAGCAGGAGGGAAGCTCAAATGGAATGCAGTGTGCTATGTGTGCTGCATGCCCTTTGCAAGCCTTGTAAAGGTTGTGAAGCCTGTCGTTCCTGAGCGATTTCTTGACAGCCCGGGACCCTACATTTGCTAACATGTACGGGAGGACCTGTTGCTGTCACACGTTGCTGCAGCTGCTACGCAAGGTGTACCGAGGTGTACCGAGGTGTACCGAGGTGTACCGAGGTGTACCGAGATGTACCGAGCATACGGTGTCTGTTTCATGGAGGTTTCCGGTTTTGATTTTTATTCATTTGTTTGGGATCTTTTTTTCGGCTACTTGGTCCGCTGGTCTCCTGGTCCTATGCCTTTGGTCCTCTGCTCTCCCGGGTCCCTTCCTGGTCCTCTGTTCCTGTTCCTCTGCTCTCTTAGTCCCTTGGTCTCGCGGTCCTTTGGCTCCCGCTTATACAGCTATATGAACATGAATATGTGTGTCTGTAGGTGTGGTAACAACACCCCCCCCCCCTTGAACCAACAGCGATATCATTATGTGGACAGAAGTTGTGCGGGCTCATCGGTGCTTAGAGTACTTGGGCCCAGAGGGTCGACTTCAAAAGCCGCCTGCCCCCCCCCCCGCCCCCCCGCTCCCCTCCGATTCAAGATTCACGATGCTGCCAAAAAGTTTTGAAATACTAGGGCATGTTTTTCTCCATCTGTCTCTCTCTATCTCTGGCTCGCTCCCTCTCTCGCTCTCTCGCTCTTTCTCGCTCTTTCTCGCTCTTTCTCGCTCTTTCTCTCTCTTTTTCTCTCTTTCTTTCTCTCCCGATTCTCTCTCGCTCTCTCTCTCTCTGTCTCTCTCTCTCTCTCAAGATTACGTTAGGTATGTATGTGCATATACAGGTGTTTCACCAGACATGTGCCCTCCAGGTAGAGTACTTTTTCAAGCTTTTATTCATATACAATTATTGGAACGCGTGTGTGTGTGTGTGTGTGTGTGTGTGTGTGTGTGTGTGTGTGTGTGTGTGTGTGTGTGTGTGTGTGTGTGTGTGTGTGTGTGTGTGTGTGTGTGTGTCTCTGCGTGTGTGTGCGTGTGTTGCTAGTATTCTTGCTTCAGTAATTCTTATTGTTGACACTACTATGATTTGTGCATCTACGTATTCCTGGACCATGTATGTGCACATACATGCACATACCTATGCATGTACATATACATATACCCCCTCCCGTCCCTCTTCCAAAACAAAAGCAAAAAGATCCGCCAGAATAGTGCTTCCGGTGGCCTGTGACACTCTGGAACAAGCCTGTTCAACATACTTGCATATTGAGTATCTTCTAGACCTTGCAACGCCATGCTTAAGGAGTCCGTTCTTGAAAACAGGTGTGGGGTTTTCCAGCCGGGGCTTGTTCCAGAGTCTTTGCAGACCAAGGTTCGGTGCGCTACGTCTTCGCGCCCCGGCCGCGCCGCGCCTCGGAGGCTCCTGGCTGCGATGGGTCAAAACATGCTAGACCCGGGGTGCTTCAAAGTCATGTTTAAATGACAGTTCAGGGCCTGTTGTGGATTATGACAGAGGTGATTCTGAGACAATCTCGGAAAAGCCTCACTGACAGTCGTCGCGGTCGTCCTCTTCATCGCCATTTTGACCAGTCCTCTCCGGCACGCAAGTTCGGGGAAGGTCTTTCATTGTATTTCTGTGTAGCATCTGTGGATAGGGCCCTTGCATGCCTTGAAGCTGCATGAATGGCCATGCAACATTATCCGGATGTTGGGAAGCCAATTCTCAGACATGTGATCAAATCTCCCCCGCCGCCCTCGTTCACAATTTCGAGACCCAAGTCTTCAGCCCGCTATGTTCTAAAGTGGAGCTCGCACATGCACGAAAACCTTCTAGTCATGTGTGTCATGACAAGTGGAAGATGATCGTGGCGGGCAGGCGGGCTTCTCCGGCCGCCGGTGCGACGCCGACGGCTACGGCGGTTGGGTACCTTCAGGTGCTTCGCTGAGTTGGCAGTCGTTGGCAGTCCCCATATATCAGCTTGCAAGCGACTTCAACGGGGTTTTTTGGCATCGGAACGCAAACCTGGCATGTTTTAGCAGTCCTGCCTGCTTTAGACTGATCGAACGAAGAAGGATTGATCTTGCGTCTCCCCTAGAGTTGTCAGAAGATTGCATGATTCCAGGGGGTTGGGGTGAGTATAGTCGTTTAGTAGTTTGTTTTTTTGCATGTAAAAAGGGAACATGTAGAATCGAGGAACCTTGTGTCCTCTACTGTCTACACTATCACATGACATGATCCAATGTTTTTCAGGGTGCCCCTGTCCCAATCCTCAACCCTTCAAAACTGCTTCCAACAGAACAGAGACAGAAACCACGCAGGTGTCCTCTCTGGCCGCGATGGCTGGGGTTTGGGCCGGGCGTCCTATGGTGCCCGGTGGGCTGCAAGGCATGGGGGCGCTTGGCGCTTTTCTGTTTCGAGTTGCATGGCTTTTGGTAAGCTTGCAGATTGACAGCATTGGTGAGCGGTCAAAACCAAACAGTTCGTAGTCCAAGTGGGCGTGCGATCTGTGCGGCTTTCTTTCCTTCTCGGTTCTTCGAAGTTCTTCGAAGTTTTTCGACCTCGTGTTTGGCACAGCTTGTCAGGAGCCTGGTCGCTGCTGGGCTCTGCCGCCGCTGCGAGGTGCGGCTGACTTTCGATCCGCTGCAAATGGAGCCTGCGGGGATCCAGGCAGGAGCACGAGGGGAGTTCGCAGAGTTCGTAGAGCGTAGCTTTTTTCTAGAGTTCGTAGAAGAAGGACACCGGGGTCTGGGCTTGCAGTTAGCACCCTCTTCGTTGTGCTTAACTTGTACCCTGATTGCCTTGCTGTACCTTGCCGTCGATAAGTTGTTTCTCTCACGGCTCTCCAGTGGAGAGCGCAGCTTGACTTTGTGGAGGCGCAGGGCTACACGGTATGAATCATTGAAAATTTACCTGCGGGCTATTCGGCAACAACCTGGGAGGACTGTCATTGCGTGCAGTGAGAGGCACTTTTGCTGCTGATCTTTGTTTCTACAAAAGCGCTCAACGTTCTGCCTTTGGAGGAGAGAGGTAAGGTCGCATTTACAGAAAAACCAAAATGCAGAAGCCCTGGTTGGGTGGTTGGCCCACGGCATTGGCAAAGGCCTCACGGTTCCAAGCAGGATAGAGGCTTGCCAATTGAAAAGGGCGGCTATCAGTACGTGAGGGCCTCATGAATGGCAGTGAGAGCAGCATAGATTCTCAAGAGCACTTTAGCGCCAATACGGGTTTTGGTGGATATGGCCGGCTTAATGATAACCACTCCACTCGACACGTGAGCTAACCATGAGAGAGTTCCATCTCAAGTAGCTTTTTGCGTGCAGACTTCTAGTCAGCACGCCAGAATCAATGGGCGTCTCCGAGAAGATGCAAGGCGTATCTCTTTTTCGTGATAATATCTGTTGCGACTTCATAGTCACGTCTTCCTGTTCGAAGTACAGCGAGCTGGTTTCGGAGTTCGATATCATAGACTTTGGCAGTGTCTCCCCCGTATTCATCCCTCTTCTATAAGCCTAAGAGCTGGAAGGTCCATTCCTTCGGCACCAGCCGAAGCAGCAAAACTGACGCCCAGCTAGCTGAAATCTTGGAAGCTGGTCGGCAAGAAGAGATTTGTAGTCGTGGGAGGTGTTGAGGCATCTGCAGCTGAGGGTTGCAGACTTCTTGCGCGTGCTTCGGGCAAGGGGAGCTGAGAATTCGAGTCTGAGCGTGCTCAAAGAACTACCTTCGTCACTCAGCCCAATGTCCCGTTCCACATGCCATCAGCCCGACATGCAAACCCTAAACTTCTCGCGGCCCAGACGCAATCGTTTGACTTCCGCCCGAGCAGTCTCCAGCGGGACCGGGTAACGAATGCTTAAGGGTCCCATATTTCGGCATTCAGTGCGGCCGAGGTGCAGTTGTTGTATTCGCATTGGGACATGTTTGTCGTTATGATCTTGGTTGTTGTGTACTTGTAAGCTGTTCTCACCAAGTACGATGCCATGCCCAGGAGTTTGTTTCAAAGCTTCGGATGCATGCCAGATGCCTATGAGGTGAAGCTGGGTGTTGTTCCACAGGTTTATAGGGCAGATCCTGTATGAACATTGTTTTAATACGTCGGGGGGTGGGGGGCTGGACCTTTGAGTTCATTGGTGCCCGGAACTGGCTTGGGCCCGTTTACACCCCGCCATTTTTTTTGATCCCCGAGTTTTGTCTTTAACTCGCCCCTCTCTCTACTTTCCTCTCCATGTTATGTGTCAACCAAACGCGGCTCCAAAATGTTTGCGGTTTCCTTTGGCGCGCGGACACGAAATGTCGACATTTTCGATTTTTTTTTCGAATCTTTGCTTGGGGCGCACGCACACGAAACAAACGAACAGTTTGAAATTATAGCATTGTGCCTGGCCTGTGTGCGCGAAAAAATCAAGTTCTCGAAAATTTTACACCATGAATGTTGCGGCCAAGCGACGTGTATACAGAAAGCAATAATATATGTTAATATGTATACATATATACACGTATATGTATATTCTCAAACAAAAGGGGCTCAGAGCTTAGGTGGAGGTCTGGGGCTATAGGGGTTGTTGTGGGTTCAGTTCCTCAGTCCATTTTCCAGGGTTTTGGAGGCTTGGTAAGGTTTTGGGGACAGTGAGTCATGGAAAGGTATCAAGAGCTTGCAAGGAGTGGTGCTGACGGCAAAGCTTGTCTAGACAGGTGTGAATTTTCGTTTATCTGGTGTTGATTCGCAAAATCGACGACATAGTGGTGTGTGAATCAATCTGTACTTGTGGCTCGCACACGAGCGCTCACTCGCGAAACTTTCGAAAACGGCGAAATTCGTGCTTTGCCCTTGCGAGCGCCAGCGAAAGTTTCCAGATTCCGACGTTCTTGAATTTTTGGATTGTCATTGTTTTTGCGAAAATGGACGGGCAAGCGATCTTTTTCCAAAATTGCGGGTGAAAGAAAGCTATGCCGCAGTCTCGGGATGGTTTGAACTTTGATGCTTTAAAATGCATGCCTGGAGGACCTGAATCTCAAAGGTCCTCTGTTTCAGCGCCTATCAGCGCAACTTGGCTCAAACTTTGCTTTAGCTTGCACGATGCTTCCTGATTTAGAACATGGT